CTAAGTGGTTAATAAGAGGTGCAAAAGGGCGTTGTGGACGAATTCGACTCATGGCAAAGGTAGTGTGAGATGTTTATATTTAGCGTAAGGTCCTTGATGGATCTCATTCCCTATTGTGTAGTTGATATTAGAGTTTTATTTACCTCTTCTCGAGTAACTGTCTTGGTCAGATATGAATGGATGCTAGAACGTATCTCATTCCCTATTGTGTGTCTATATATATGATGATATTGTAAATTCAACATATGTAGATAAATTTTTTAAGTCGTTGAAAAAAACTGAAACATGTTACGGAGTAGAAAAAACTGGAATGAGTCTGAAGAATTTGTAAGTTGGAAAAAGTTAGAAGTTAACTTTCTCAACAAAAAAATAGGCCCTTAGAGCAACTCCAGCGTATAGGCTATATGCTAAAATTTACACAATATACACTTTATGGTTGATTTTTTGACACTCGAAGGGAGAGGGTAAAACAAGTGTTAAAATACTATATAGGGTAAAATGCAATTGGCAAAGTGTATTTTTACAAGTTGATTGTAGATAGGGAAAAGAATAAAAATATATTAGGGAGTATATTATACTCCGTACAAAATATGGTTGGAGTAAGTATCAAAAAGTAGAAGTGTAAAATACTGTTGATACTGTAAAATGAAATTTACACTACCAACTTTTATACTATACATTGGAGATGCTCTTAGAGTATGCACTTATAAAATTGATGTGCAATGCTTTTTTTTATTTTTTAACAGGACTTCCATTTTGTTGATAATAACATTTTCAATTTGTGAAAGAATAAAAATGAAATATTAAAAAAATGCAAAAAAAAAAAGTGCACATTTAATTTTTTTAAACACATATCGAGAACATTCATATTGTTAAAATTAGGGATGCATATTCATGTTATATAATGCTCATTGGATGCACGCAGATGTAACCAAAATGTTAGACACAGGTGAGATTTGAACCATTTGACACGATAGAGTTTGACAGTAACATTATGCTTGGTTGAAGGAAGAAGGAACCCATATTTTTTCACCCAAATGGAAGGAATTTGATTTGTCCTCTTATTAATACATTTTTTCTTTTATATATTTTTTCACTTTTGTTTTCTTCTCTAACAAGACTAGAAAAATGTTTTCTTTATCATTTTCTTTTCCTTTCCCTCTCAAATTTCTTGAACTGAACATAATGTAAGCATTTCAAAAACATATATAGAGACAATAATGACTGCTTGTGTATATCTATAAAATATTAAGTGTAAAACTCTTGATTTCAAAATTGGCATGGCCTAAGCATGATTCAAAATAATTTTTATCAGATGTACGATATAATTTGTCCGAGCTCACCATTCACATTGAGCATAAAATCCGAGGATATCAACGGGTAGGATAATAAGAAATCACCTTAAATAGGTGTTAAACATAGAGAAAATACCAAAATAAGAGCTCCATATTTTTATCTACAAAATAAGAGTTTGTATTGTAGTAATGTGACACTATATATAAATATTTCACAAAATCTTTTGATAATGTATATGGTCATAACTGTTAATGTATATGCATTTTAACTCTTATTTTGGAAATAAAAACATGAAACGCCTATTTTTGTATATTTTCAATGTTTTACTTCTTTAGTCTTTTTCACTAAGATAAATTGGAAAGATGAAACTCTTATTTTTATATATTTTCAATGTTTTATTTCTTATAAGTAGTATTCTTATAAGCAGTATTCTGGTCTAAAAAAATTGCAAAATAGCTCATCTGCATTTTTGAGCAATGGTGGAGCACACCCGCGCTCTTAAAATTATAAGGATTTTTTCTCTCGACAAATTCTTCCCTAATCAATACCATACAAGCATTTTCATGAATGTGTGCTCCCTCCATGCACATAATTTTCCCAAATGTAAGGAATCCACTAGAATGTTCCAACGGCTAACAATCACATACTCCCTCCGTCTGGATTTTAAGTTCCCGGTTTGACTTTTGCTCATTTTTAGTGGAAGTTGACTAATGGGCTACATTGCCCAAAATACCCCTGCCCCAACACCAAAATACCTCTGCAACCCTCAACACCACAACCACCCCAATCCCTATCCCCACCGCCCCAACCGTCGCCCCAACCCCCACCATCACCAGCCCCATCGCTGCCCCTGCCGCGGCTGTCAGTCCATCATCACTATCAGCCATCCATCTTCGTTATCCCCCACCACCATCACCGCCGACACCCACCACCATCGTCACCGCCAACCCCCACAACCATCGACTCAGCCCCGCCGTCATCACCGTCAACCCTACCATCACCTCGAGCTGCCACCATCGCCATACCTGGGAGAAATAGAAAGGAAGTGAAGGGGAGAAAGAGGAGAAGAAGATGATGACGATGTTGATAATGATGGTGTAGATCTGCATAGATCTACTACAGATCTGAGAAGAACCGAAAGGGAAAAAGAAGAAGAAAAGGAGGAG